ACGTAACGTCGTTAAAGAAGAAACAATTTAACAAATTGCATTATGTTAGCGGAAAATTATATTAAAAAATTACAAGGGCAATGAAAGAGAAAGAAAGCATCACTCCCCTTGAAAACGATTGTTTAGATGTTTAAAGTAAATAAAGTCACACAACAAAGTAAAGTATATTAAAACACATTTTGGCAAATTTCATTTTAACAATTTTATATATGTTGATTTCAGAATTTGTTATCTTTAATTAACCAAAACTTTTGACTAATAATACGTTGGTATCCAAAATTCAATGTCAAAACGTACAACAACAACATCAACGGATACAATACCAAATAATATATACAACATCACATGTCCTGTAATTCCTCTAAATCAGAATCGGATGTGATAAACAAGAAGAAAATGATTTTTCCTACAGTTACCTAACAATGTACATGTTCTCTCACTGATTTGAGAAAGCAAAGTGGCCAATTCGCTCATCAGTGAGACAATGTTAACATTGTCTGAATGTTAACATTGTCTCACTCCAGATTTGCAACGTGAAGGCACGAAATAGTGAGCGCGTAACATGCAGACAAGGTCGTATGCGCGCGAAATACGTTGGCAGCACTGGCTGTAAATCAGCTGGTCAGCTGTTGTGCTGTTGTATCATTAAATGTCATATTAAAAGTTCATTTCTGTGTACAAATATGTTACGTTTCTTTACCAATTTATTTGTTTTATGGTAATCTGTATGAAAAATATAATGTGTAACTCGAGTGCTAAGTGCAAGTGCCTCACTCGAGAAACCATTCCTCACGAGCCGATTCTCCCGAGTGAGTCAATTGCTCACTTTGCTCACTAGTTGCACAAATAACTATTTTTTTAGTTTGAAGTGTAGTTAGATTAAATAATGTCAGTAATTTGGAATAGTACTAATTTTCTATAGCTATTTAAAAGGAACATTAATCTTGTCCGACTTTTTTTAAATATTACATGATCTAGTGTTTTTTACTTTCTCCCCCTATACCATAGTATATGGAGAAAGTATTGTTTTCGTCAAAATTTTCGAGTTTGAGTTTTGAGTGGATATATTCGTTTTGGGTCCCCCTGGACCCATAAAAGTGGTTTTCGAAGTGATGTCTGTGTGTGTGTGTGTGTGTGTGTGTGTGTGTGTGTGTGTGTGTCTGTGTGTCTGGATGTGTACAGAGCTAGAGACTACACCTGTGGTCCGATTTCGATGAAATTTGGTATGTAGGTTCTAATCCATGGTATCTCCAGGCGTTTTTTTCATTTTTTTGAAATTTCGATTTTTAATGGGGATTTTCCCATAAAAACCCATAAAAAACCGGAAAAATTGGATTTTCTCAAAAATGGCCCGAACGATTTCGATAAAAATTGTGTATGTTGTAGCCCTTTAAATTCTGAATAAAATGGTACAAATCCCATTTCTGTAAAAATTACGGTTCAAAAGTTATATTATTAAAGTGTTATTATTAAAGTGGCATAAATACACCTACTAGAGTAGTAGGAAATAGTCAAACAAATATTGACCACATATTTGTAAACCACAATGATTATACTGCCTTACAAACTGCTGTGGTGAGGACGGACATAACTGATCACTACAGTATCTGCCTACAAATAAGTCACAACCCCTACACTAAGGACACGTCACACAACACAAACACTTACATTGACAAAACATCTTTGAGCTTAAACATTAAAGAGTGTGATTGGTCAGATGTCACGCACACGTGTGACGTTAACACATCTACAGACATTCTTTTTGGCAAAATTAAAGATTGTGTAAACAAATCCACAAAACAAAGATCTGTTCTCAAACCGAGGCTGAGACCTCTCAAACCATGGATTACCCATGACTTAGTACGAAAAATAAGGGATAGGGACAAATTGAGCAAGTTAGTTAGGAGACAACCGTTTAATATGGAATTGATTTCAAAATTTCAAAGAGTAAAAAATGAGTTAAATCAAGATACAAAACTAGCCAAATACAATTACTTCAGAGAAAAACTTTCACATTCAAAAAATAATCCAAAAACATTCTGGAGTACTTTAAACGAATTAGCGGGTAGAGGTAATAAAAAGGACATTTTCCCACTTACACAATTTACAGGAAACAGACTGAATGTTGAAAACGACTGTAGATTACAGGTAGCCGACGAATTTAATGAGTACTTCGCCAACGTTGGTCCCAACTTGGCAGCAAGTGTGGATTCGGGCGGTTTACCTGTGGTCGATGACACTGACCACGCTGTTGACTCCATCCTCACGCTTCACACTGTCACTGAACAGGAACTGTACACTTACGTCACTAGACTGCGAGGTGGCTCAGCTCCAGGGTATGATTGTGTATCAGCTGAACTACTCAAAGACAACTGGGAGACACTTAAACAACCACTGCTACATATAACTAACACAAGTATCCAAAATGGTATATTTCCTAATGCCTACAAAATTGCCAAGGTAATTCCCCTCTTCAAGTCTGGTGACGTCACCAATATCTCAAATTTTAGGCCAATTTCTTTGCTAAGTGTGTTCACTAAGATTTTAGAAAAAATTATCAAAGATCAAGTTTGTCATTACCTTAATCAGCACGATATTTTGACACCCCGCCAGTTTGGTTTCAGAAAATCAAAAAACATCACAGATGCATTGTTCGAGGTTAATAAAGATATAAATTTGGCCATCAGTAGAGGCAGACGTGTTATTCTGGTATTTTTTGACTTGGCCAAGGCTTTTGACTCAGTTGAGAGATCATTTCTTTTAAAAAAATTAGAACTGGTAGGTGTTAAAGGTGTGGCTCTAAAATGGTTCCGATCTTATTTTGATGATAGAAAACAGTTTGTAAATATAAATGGAATCGATGGGAATCTTGGTAATGTAGATTTTGGTGTGGTTCAAGGTAGCACGTTAGGGCCTTTACAATTCTTGATATACATTAATAATCTTGTGAAATTGGACATTGAAGGTGAATTTTACCTCTTCGCCGATGACACCTTAGTTTTATTCCAAGGAGAAACTTGGGACTCAGCTTTTGCCAATGCCGAAAGAGGTGTATCGAAAATTAAAAAATGGTTTGATCAGAATATTTTAACGCTAAACGTCACCAAAACAAAATTCATTCCAATTTCCTTAAGAGCTCGAAGTGACACACTTCGCAACGAAATCAAAATTCATTCATGTGGTCAAGAAACCGGAAATAACTGTAATTGTCCAGTAATAAATAGAGTTCAAAATTATAAATATCTTGGAGTTGTATTTGATTCGAAATTGTCATGGACAGATCACGTGTCATATTTAAACAAAAAGTTAAGAAAGTTGATATTTGCTTTTCGTCAACTACACCAATTCCTTGAAAAAGATGAAATTAAAAATGCATATTTTGCTTATGTACAGTCGCTGCTTGAGGGGGGGATAATTGCCTGGGGTGGTGCTTACAGCAACATTCTACAACCTCTCGTTGTAACACAAAAGGCAATCATAAAAGCGGCACTCGGCAGGTGTAGGCAATACCCTTCTGAAACTCTGTTCACTGAAATGAATGTGCTTGATGTAAGACAACTTTTCATCAGAACAGTTTCACTGTTAATTTACAAACACCATGAGACGCTCTTTGACCGTCCACAACATGACCATAATACTCGACGTGCACTAGGCCAAGGTATACGCTTACCCAGACTTACAAAGACATTTTCTACCACTAACTGTTATTATGTTGCACACATCATTTATTCTAACCTTCCACTAGACTTACGAGAATACGGCAGACACTCAATTTCAACGTACAAAAAACACATTGTTCACTGGCTTAATCTCATTGGTAGGGATGGAGCTAATAGTTTATTAGTTTCTATATACAGACAATAGGTTGACAGCTGATACAGGTGTGCGTGACATTGCTGTGTGTGTGTGAGTGCGTGTGCGTGTGTGTGTGTATGTGTGTGCAGTTCTCGATTCTGTGCCACAGGGACAGAGCATTGACGGCCCTAGTACCCTAGGGCTACCAGCCGCTTGTTGGTGTTGGGACCGAGGACAGCTGAGTGTATCAGTGTGTGGATGTGTGTTGGTGTGTGTGTGAGTGTATGTGGGGGGAGGGTGGGGGGGGGTGTTCGGGTTGGTTAGGGATGGGGTAGGTCATCATGACACTGATAGTTGTTATCTACATGGTAGATTAAAAGTACATAGTGGGCCTAATTTACTATGTCATGACTCCGCTGGCGCTTTGGAGTCTTGCCCGCACTTTAATTATTAGAAGTACCTGTTTTTTGTTATCAAACCTTTTAATTCTTTCTAATCAAACATCATACGACTCACTCCCACGCACGGGTTATCCCATGTGGGATTAATTTCGTTTATTTTAGTTATACATTTAAAACCTATTTCTATTGCATGTATTACATTTTGTAAATATTGTCTATTTTATACGAAATAAAGGATTTTGATTTGATTTGATTTGTTATGGTCAAATATGTTATTTTCCCATAAAAACCCCATAAAATTACAAAAAATAGGATTTTAGAAAAAATCCTGTTTTGATTTATTATAGTAGGTTTTGGTCGTTACAATTTTGATAGTTTTTTTTTATTTTTTAGAAATTTGTATTTTTTATGGGGATTTCCCCATAAAACCGAATAAAATAACTGAAAAATAGGATTTTCCCAAAAATGGCTCGAACGATTTTGATAGAATTTATTTATGTTATAGTCCTTTATATTCTGAACAAAATGGTACAAATCCCATTTCTGTAATAATTACGGTTCAAAAGTTATTGTAAATTACGTAATTTCCCCATAAAACCCCCATAAAATAACAGAAAAATCAGATTTTCCCAAAAATGGCCCGAACAATTTTAATAAAAATTTTGTATGTTATAGTCCTTTAAATTCTGAACAAAATTGTACAAATCCCATTTCTGTATATTTACTCTCACCGCTTACAAATAATAAAGGTTGTTGAAAAACTTATGGGAGAAAGTATGTGTCAGAATGCTGATACCGTTTATTTCTTCAAGTGATAAAAATAGAACACCAACAGTTTCCAAGCGAAACTTTTACGTTGAATGTGCACTCCTGTCTAAGTCTCCTCTACAATTTCATACTTTGAGTAACACTCTCACAAACATTGGCCAGGGTTTTGTAAGCACCATTGAGGTGCAACTGGAGAGCTCTTCACCCCAAGAAGTTCCAGCCTCTCCCTAAACATTGCCAGGCGGTCCATGGGGTTGTTGGGCGATGGATCTGTCCAAAGTCGCTCTGCCATGGCGGCGGCTGCAGGCCAAACTGTGGGCCGGAGAGAGTGGTGATCTACAAGGTCTGTGAATACAATAGCACAACCTCCAAGAACGAATCTTCTATCGACCTGACTCAACTCGGACCACGGATGATAATTGTAAACCGGCATCCACGGCTGAGGCTGAGTAAGATCCCAGGCATCGCTCGAAGACACTATTACCTTGAACTTCTTCTTCACCAGTCTCTCAAGCTCTCCGGACGTAGAAGGACCTTTCGATTGAACTATGGGAGTAACTTGTTTGACCGTCTTCCAGAAATCTGATTCCTCTAGGAAATCATTGGACCATAGAATTACATTTTTCACGTTTACTTCGTTTTTCATTTTGTTTAACAATGTTTTATAAAAGTGCTCCCAGACTCCGATTACACCCTTTTTAATGTATACGTCGAAGTTTGTCACTTCTTCGGAGCTTTCCCAACATCGGAAATCCACTTCATCTCCTCCAAGATGAACTAAACCCGATTTTGTTGCTTGTTTGAGTTCCTTTATTAATTCAACGAGAACTGAAAAGGTGTTTTGGTTTGTTGGGTTTATTTGACCACAGGGTGGTTCTGCGCAGAATTCCGAAAATGGCTGAGCGTTTAAACACAATGAAAGATTCCCTTTACCTTCTGATTCACCCCAATCCCATCCTTGACTGTTGTGAGACGGAAAGTCGATTTCCACCAATACGGTCACTCCTCGTTCCTCAGAAAACTTTGCCACATTTTCAACATCCTTAACTGTATAAACTTCCTTAGAGGGCACCCCACTTGTAAACATTGGAAAGCTTTTTGATTCATAAGGAAACCCTTTTGATCCCGTTAGATGCCAATGAAAGACATTCAACTTACTCATAGACATGGCATTAACAGTGTCTAAAATGAATGCAACAGGAATGAAATCATTACTTGTGTCCAGCATTAAACCACGATACGTAAATATTGGAGAGTCACTGATGACAACACTATTCATAATCTTTAAAATGTGATCATCTTCTTCCCACCAAATAAGTTGAGTTAATGTTTCCAGTCCATGGTGAGCTCCTTGAAACGACGAGGCTAGGATTATTGCGTTCAAGATCAATCCTTTTTGGGCGATAATAATTTTATAGCTCTCGTCGACGTTTATTTTGGAACCCTCTGATTTGTTTGAGTTAACGTTAATATCAACGTTTACTGCCATTACTGTTGGACGAGCGTGTGAATTCGTCGCCATATTTACAATTCTCTCTTGAAAACGTATTGCAGCCTTCTTGAGCAGAATGGCAAGATCAAGATTGTTGACGGGTTCAAATTCTATATTCAGATTTCTTGGATGGAACGACGCGGTAGTGTTGGATATTCTCACTTCCCCTGTTGGTGTCGGCCAAATGTTTCTTCCTGGAGAACAAGTCATCTGGCAAGATAGGAGGGACATCGATGAGAATGATTGTTCCTTCATAACTTTCTGGCACACTTTTATCCCATAGTCTCCTTCCACACATTCCCAGGACAATCCGAAAGAAGGATTTCTGCAAAGTAAAAGTTTATTTACACAACCAGCTCAGTAAAATATTTGTTAGCTTGGAAGGTATTCAGATTATTTTGTGGCAGATTATTTTGCCTCTCTCAATTCACGCAAAATAAAACTGTATTATAATACTCCTTGTGTATTTTCCAAAAAATAATTCTGGATAAGTCTAATATAGGTGGGCAAAACATATATAGGTGGTAGTATACATGTGTATGTATTGAGTTATCAACAAAATATGTTTACTTAATTTGAACATCAATTAATTAGATAATGCGAGACCCAGATGGATAATCAGAAATTTTAAGTGTCTTTACTTTAAATTTTATCTTGTACTTAAGTTATGAGAAATTGTCTGTATTCATTCCAAATATCAAACATACCACGATTTGTTACCAAGCAATATGCTTGGTTTAAAACTAACTACTTACTTGAGACCAGAGGCGGACGCTGCTCGTCTAAAGTTGTAGAGTTTGTTGAGAATGATGACGTCCCAGTAAAAGACGCAGACCAGAACAATACACCCTAAAGTAACTACAGTCCTGAGACGAGGCACAGCACTCTGGACACTCATCTGAACAAATAAATAAAAAATGTACAGTGAGCAAGAGTGCGAAATTTTTAATTGTTGCCCTGCTCAAATCTTAATCTGACACCCTACGGATAGAAGCACTGATTATAATGAAAAACATTTTAAGTTCAGTTAAACTAAGCTATCAAAATCAAGTGCATAAATGGTATTTACATTAGTATGTCCCAACGAATCATATGTAAATAAAAATGTATAATAAGTGCAATAACAAAATGTTAAATAACAGGCTATTGGGTAGGCAGTTGTGAGATACCAAAAAATCGAATATCATATGGGCAAAAATCATGAATCGTAAATTTAAATTATCATCGTATAGCGCATGTCATATATCATAAATCGAACACCACTAAAATTGTGCATGGTGCATCGTACAGCTAAAATCAATCATCTCCCATTAAATACTATTATATCGAAGATCGTACATCAAACGTCGTCATAGTACATTCACCGTAGATACTACTTCATGATGCATCGTGAATTTCATACAATACATCGCCCATCTTAGACAGACAATTACATTGTAAACCACTACAATCAAGCATAATGCATCACTCATATAACATTGTACATTGAACATCGTTTTTGTAGATACTCTTATATGGCTAATGTTACATTTTTCATCGTAAATCTCACATTCCCATCGTACATCGTGTGGCGGTGTCGGCGAGGACTAGCCTCATTACAACAGGTCGATACTAGCCTCACGCGAGGCTATGGATCGCCTCAGGTAAGCCAGCTACAGCCAGTCGTGCCGTGTCTTTCACTGTGTGACCTAGCTGTGACCTTGAGTGTTATCAGTGCCTTCTGGAGCCTTACGGTTGTGTCGTGTCGTTGCTGTGTGACCGTGAAACATTGTTGTTTTCAGTGCCTTTACTCTTATCATCCGCCGTCCAGTGTATGTGAACTTAAGTTCTATCGGAACTAATTCACACACAATCGACGTTTGGGAGTTAAACGTTTGCTTTAAACGAGCAGGACCATATCGCTATTTCATGATATGTCAATTGATTGTAGTTCTCATAAAACTTTAAATGCTGTTTTAATTTCAGTCACAGACACCGATAAAGATCAGATTTCAATCATGCTACGTTATTAAAGGTCCAACATTTTCACAACGTTTAAACTGCTTCGACTAAATCGACAACATAAATTTATAAATAATTTCTTTCTTATTCTTCAATAATTCGTGACTCAATATTTATAAGTTAGCTGCACTGATTTACCAAACATTGTACAATAGGTGAAACATTAATTTCTAATACACTTCACAGGCTAGAAGAAACATGAATAAATCAATCAATAATAAATATGCATTTCAAACGAAAGAAATTTGTTATCTTTAAATTCTTCTATTTACAGTTTTCGTTTCGCGAGAAACTTGTAACAATCAACATCTTACAGTGTCACTAAAAATTACCATTCCATCGCATTTTTTCTGAATATCCATCCAATAACTTAAAACAGCTTTCGTTCACACTACTTCCACCCTTGCCATGTAGGGTTACTACCACTCTAAGCTGAAACTTGTCCTTGGTATCTACCTGCGACTCCTCGCCATCTCGCCATGGTCCTTCCGAGGACTCCATCTTCGTCATCATGATCCGACCCGTCGCCTCCACCGCTTCCCTTCTGTCAGTCACCCATGGTTTCTCCCACGTCTCCCACAGGAACATGAGTCACGTGGCTCCACTGCATGGAGGAATAAACATTCTTCTTGGAGGGTTGGTATCATCTGGTGATAGAGCCGCCGCACCAGAGTGTGTAGTATAAGGCCCAGATGAGTAAAGTTTAATATTGTACAAATGTTCCGAGCCTGCTGGAAAGCCTAAAAAACCCATGAACCCACCCACCCCATGAAACCGTTGAACCCACGCAGCAGGGTTGGTCTTTATTAAAAAAACTCGCGCGTTGAAGGGTTAAGGTGCAGATAAGTTTAGGATGAGAGTGGAATGAATGTATCATGTAAAAAAATGAAGTATTCTTTAAACAGTAGTCCCCCTCTTATCCGGTCACTTCGAGTGACCGAATCTGATGTGCTTTAAACCCCAAACGTATGCTTTAAACCTCAGCGGAGGAAGTGATGAAATAGGCTAGGAGTTTAAAAATGGCCATTAATTTGTTCATTTCTAAATTAATTGTGTTTTAATGGGTACACACACTTTTCATTTTCACAGAATACCATACAAGAAAATGGATTTCACGGCCATTTTAACACTCCATAATCCATTTGCGCACTTTATCCTCACTCATTGCATTCGAACCATAGCCTTCAGCCGTCTTTAAATAAATGTCGGCATCGGATATGTTTGTAATCAAAAAACGTATCACTGACCTTATCTTGCTTACGGTGGGAGATTCGACAGTTTTAAAATGTTTAAAAACACATATCGAAGCGTACGTGTTAGCTACAGAGCCTGATATATATGCTCTATATAAATATACCTATATGTTAATCGGGAATGTGAGCTATCATCATGCCAAATTTCAGCCCAATCCGTCAATTAATTAATGCGTGATTGAACTTCAAACAAACAGACAAACAAACACACAAACTTTTACATTTATAATATTAGTAAGCTTTAGAACAAATTTGGAAATTTGGTTTATTTAATACTAAGCTATCGACACTGCAATAAAAAACACATCTCAATATCTTCCCTGTAGTAGCAAACCTAAGTACTCACTACAATTAATGTTAATTGAGGGAATACATTATTAGAAATCCAGCCAGGTAAATGAAATTTGCATAGTCTGCAGGTTTGCTGCGGCGGGGGTATTTTTCTTTTCATCCAATTTCAACTCAACATGTTTTTTAAGTAGATTATTTACTTTTAAGGTATGAAAGTAAAAATAAATTTAATTTAACAAGGCTTAGTTTAAATATTCTTAAATAACAATGTTTCGACGGTTTTTATACGAATATAGTATTTGTATTTTGTTTATAAAAGCTTGTATTGCCCACATCAATCAAAAGAACTTAAAATTTTATTCGACGCGATTGCTCTTACACAACCAAACATCACGGTTCAGGTGTTTGAGCGAAATGTGAATTCACTCGATGTTTTACCCTCTGCTTGCACATTAACAAACGACCCCGCATTGCAGAAATGTTGAATTCTCAGTTGTTTTTGTATGTGCGGAAGGGGTTTTATTGTTGACTTAACGGTTTTTCAAAACGTTGTTAGTTGAAGTAAAAAATTAATTTATATTCAAATTTTCAAAATTGTTTAACTTATTAGCACAAATTCAATATCACCTGTGGTTTTATTAATTTGCTTTGTTTTGTATTTCCATAGACTTGTTATATCCATGTAGTTGCAAATAATGTAGAAAAGTGGGAAATATAGTTTGAACACATTGCAAAAAATTTATTATACGATGGCATTGTTTAATTTTCTTATCAAGTCTTTTGAGTAGAAGATAAATAGCCTTAATATACTAATTGTTACGAAAAAGATAGTTAAATAGTCTTAAATGTTTTATTCATTTATTCATGGTGAATGATTTTCGTCGAAATTTGAATCAGGTTGTCAGCCTCAATCCAAATGAGGATTGATAGATGCTGTGTTTACACTCATTTCCCGCACTGATTTATAATCGGATGCGTTTCTCGGCTTATTAACCAGCTGAAATGTTATGTTTAACTGACCGGTAAAATGTCATTGAGCAGGAATGTATTCGTTCAATATAGTCATTGTTCCCAAGAAACCATTTGTCGCACATATTTGAGTTGAACCCTGTTTTGGATTCTTAAGCTCTTTATTTTGGTTATGTTGGTAATATTGAACTTTTTTACTTCCAGGAAATATTATTTTCCCCCGAAATTGCACATCAAAACATTAGGTACACATAATAAAACGCCAACATTCTAAAACCATTTACTATAATACGAGTCAGACAAAAATACAAGTAATTCAAAACCATTTAAAGTACCTTATAATATAACAAATAAACAAATCTAGATAATGAAATATTTCGTTTTGGCAAAATATGACCTTGTTCAAAGTCATATACCAAAGATAGTCCGCAAATCCTTGTTTTTTATAAACCACAAACTATTCATCACCAACTACTATTTTGTTTTCAATTGATAGATGTTTTATGTAGTCTCATTGGTAATTTATCAAACGTGTTAATCTACAGAACGTAATTAAAGAAAGTAGCCTTCCTAATTCAAGCATAAAGTTCAATCACCTAATTTTCCTTTCATTAATTTCATTGGAGTTAAACATTTCGTAGTTTGTAAACCAAGAGCCTTAGTAAACGTAAATCCATCATAAATAGTAAATTTTGTTTCAAGCGAATTTATAAGATCGCTTAAGGTTTTGATTAATGCTACATTTTCACATTGCTAAGGACAACTGAAATATTTTAAAAAAGAATTCACTGTAATAGAGTTATTATTATGCCTTTTAGTGAAATACTGATAGTGAATAAATTGTATACGTGCCGAAGATATACATTTTTTTAGACTAACAATTGTAATCAATTAGATTAATTATGTATTATAATTTAAAATGTTCAGTGTGCATACTAGCCTAAGATATATATTTTTAAGTGGCTACATTAAACTATTAGTTTAGTAAAGGATTTCTTCAATACTAAGATAGTCCATTTAGATTGAGAGGCCTATTCTTATTTTCCTCATATAAAAATGGGCCTAGACATTTGATATAAAATGTGGACACCTAATCACGTGATAAAATAAATTCACTTTTAGGTGGGATTTAGATCCAAATTTAGACAGAAGTCCCCTGCCCTGATCTACTTCAGACATACATTCAGTCTACTGTAACAACATAGGTAAACAAATAATGTTCTTATGTGGAAACACGTAGATTTAAACGGTTAATTGCTTCCACATTACAACATTTGTAATTAAACTGTGTGTAATTAATTGCTCCATAACAAAAACAGACATTAACAGTGTGTTATGGCTAATGATAGGAAGCTAATCTGTTTGGATGATCAATTATAATAATCTGTGGTCGGATAAGTTTATATTGGTAAACGACTAATTAGACCAGAATCTGTCTCTGTTGCCATTTGGCGTTTGTACAATGTTTTGTAGGCATTGATAGAATTTATCAGTGGCGATCCCAGGGGGGATGGGGAGCATATATCCCTCTCCCCCCGAAATATTTTATATTTTATTAGCTAACATAAATACTATTAGCTTGAGCATATTTAAGAGCTCAAATACGTATAAAAATACGTTTTTAGGCTTTAAATTCCACATTTTTTCCCTGGAGGAAATCCCCATACCCCCCTTTTTGGGGGGTATTCCATACCCCCAGACCCCGGTGATCATCCCCTCCGAAATGAAATCCCGGGACTGGCAGTATATTTCATCAATGTTTTGTATTACATCGATAAAACAAACTGGCCACTTTTATTTTTTATGCTTTATGTGTTTGTGGTATCTGTATCACCGTTGTTCAGAAGATAATTTTGGACTTTATCCATAACTAATGAATAAAACAAAATTTTCACGACGTTTCGGGAATTTAAATCTCCTGATACCTTCTTCGAAAAGAATTTTCAATGTGTCACCTTTACATCCCTGGACACTAGGATATAGTGCGGAACTATTCTTACACATTACTTCCACCTAAGCCTCACATTATTACATGGTTAGTTAAGAGCCATTGGCAACTAGTGAGATTTGAACCTTGGGATTTTTGCTAACTCTGTAATATGATATATTAGTATACCTACATATAAACTTTGAGTTTACTTAGGTAACATTGTAGCTTTTTCCAGCATTGTTGGTAAGATCGGGTTGAGTATTGCGGTAAGGTCAAATCTCAAAGAACTTTTTTCTTTAATAATAATAATATTGTTTTATCTACGAGTATTTTTACGTAAAAATCTATTTCCAAGAAATCATAATGCAAAAACAACTTTTACCAAGACCTTTATACTAATAGTACTATAACGGGGATAACGACCAAGCTGGTCTAGTAGTAAATCACAGGGCTTTGGTTCCAGAGGTCCTGGGTTCGAATCAATCCGATCACCAATAGATTTTCGTATATGATAACGCAATAATCCTCTAGTAAAACGTTGCCGTCTAGTGTCCTATGGTACAAAGGTAGTACATGTATTATAGACGTACTACAATTTCTGTGTGTTACAACGTACTACAATAATAGATCGCTTAAAACACTCGTCGCATCTAAATCCATCCACAAAACAGCTTTTCAAATTTATTCCAGCACTTGTTAAAGTGGAATTATCTGTGGGAATCAATATACTGAATTTGCCTCGTTCAAACGTCCCGTAGCTTTGCGGGTGTGAATGTTAAGAGGGTTTTCATCTACAGGTGAAGCGATAAATTCAGTCATTCGTGTCACCATTAAAGTGATTAATAGTAATTTGATCGTATCAACGTTAAATCTTGTACAGAACACAAAGGCATATTGTTTATTGTGTTCCATCTTAGGTCAGGTTATTTTTTAACTACTTCCGTTGTAGCAAAGCTTGATAAGCTGGTTTCCAGTCGCTTTATTCGATTAATTCCCAAACAGTTTATAAATACAAAGAGGTTTATTCTTGGGAAAGTAAATAGCATTAGGTCTACTCTAAATTGTACTTAGGTTTACTGCAACAGTAAATATACAAAGGGAATTTATATTTAATAAATTATTTACTATGATATTAATTGTAATAATGACGATGGCGATAGTTACGAGAGTTAAGTGGAGGAAACAATAGTATA